AGCAATAATCCAGGTATGTGATGAGGACCTGCAATTAACAGCCCTTGGCAACAGATTGGATATGGGGTGGAGTGGGGCAGGGAATAGTGAGAGATATTGAGGAGCCAAAGATGACAACCAAGTTTCAAGCCTGGGAACTGAGAGGATGGTGGTGCCTTGAACAGTTATAAGAAAATTTGAAAATGAGAGGGTTTAGGGAGAAAGATAGAGCTTTGGATGCATTGAGTTTTGGATATGTCTACTGGTCATTCAATTTAAGATGTCTGAAAGGCAGTTGTAGACGCAAGTCTGGAGGTCAGCAAAGAGGTTGGGACTGGATCCAAGAGATGACAATTAAATCCTTGGCAGGTAATTAGATCATCAAGTGAAGTAGTATAGAGAGAGAAGAGAAGAGGGCCCAGGACAGAGCCCTGTGGGACACCCACAGTTAGTAGACATGACCTGGACAAATATTAAGCAAAAGACATAGTGGAGTGGTCAGATAAGTAAGAGACCCAGGAGAGAGAACTGTCTGGAAAACCTAGAGAGAGTGTCAAAGAGAAGATGTTGATCTACAAAGGCTGCAGAGAGGTCAAGAAGAATGAAGAGTGAAAAAAGGCCATTAGATGTGGCAATTAAGCGATCACCAATAACTTTGAAGAGAGCAATTTTGATGGAATGGTGAGATCAGAAGCCAGGTTGTGAGGGTTTAAGAAGAAAATAAGAGGAAAGAAAGTAGATGTACCTATTGTGGGTACATCAAGCAGTTTGGCCACAAGGGGCAGAAAAATATGTAACAATATTTAGATGGAAGGATCCAGTGGAGCTTTTTTGAGGATGGGTGAGACATGAGCATGTGGGTAGGCAGTAGAGAATGATCCAGTAGACAAGGAGAAATAAAGATAAATAGAGTGGGTATGACAGAAGCAGCAATCTGTTAAAGACAGGATGGAATGAGATCATTTGTGCAAGTGGAGGGGTGGACCTTGAAAAGATACAGGTATTCCTGCCTTTTTATTCCCCTTTCTCCAAGGCCTCTCCTCCTACCAGATGTCCAACAGACCCCCATTTCTGACAAATTTAATTGTAGGCAATATGGTCCAGGACCCTAGAAGCTAAAAAACCTGACTCATGACCTGGTTTCTACTGCTCCCAGGACATCCTTGTTAAAGTCAAGCCTTTCAGGGTCTTAGTTACTCCATCTGTAAAATTGCAATAACAAATCCTTCTCCAGCTCTTTTTATAGGGCAGTTCAGAGGAACATAAATGACTGGCCACTTTGTTAGAACAGCTGTAGGTTTAGTCTAGTTTTTCTTTTCTTAAAAAAAATCATCCAGTACAAAGCAAAATATTACAAGAACCTTGGGGAAGGTGGGGAAAGGAAAGAGTTAAACACAGGAAGAAGTTTCCTCTAGTATGAGTCACTGTGGTAATAATACTGTCTTCACTGGGGTCATGTATTTGTTCATGCCTAAGTGTGTACATCTTGGTGAATGTAGTTAATCTGAGTAATTCTGATATCAGTGAGGAATGTCATCTCCCAACTGGAGGCCAAACCGACTCATTCATTCACTCTGAGGAGAGAAGACAGAGCTGATGAGCTTGGAATGTAGAAAGAATGGAGGGAGGGGTGAAGATAGGAGGGGCTGGGAAAGTAATTGCCCACATATTCTGAAACTTTGGAGCCTTTAGCTTTTCAAACAGCTGTCCCAGACGCCAGGCAGGGGGGAAAGGAGAAGAGGCAGGTGTACTGCTATTTAGGGTAGTGACAAGCCTTAGCATGTGAAAGGTGTCTTGACATAGTTCAAGGTTTTTACTCTTTTGTTAGAGGGGAAAGATTTATAACCAGCCTAGTGATTGGGGTGAAATGGAAGTAGTAAAAAGAAATAGGAAAATATCCCATCACTTTTTTTTAAGATCTAAAGATATCTCACCACTTGGGATCATAGATTTAGAGCTGGGCTGGACTTCAGAGAGACAATTGTCCAATATTCAGAATGACTACTGCTTTTTAAACATTTACTAGCATGCCACTGTACCTACCCTCCTACACTCGTCATACTTCACAGTTAGGGAAACCTAGAACAAGGGGAAGTCAAAATGCTTTCCCAAGGTCACATTGGTAGTAAGTAGCAGGGCCAAGTTTTGAACCCAGCTCTTTGGACTTCAAATCCAGTGATTTCTCTGTACTCAGTAGCAGTACCTCAAAAGGTGAGAGGTTTGGATTGGTGGTATGGGACAGAAAGAAGTAAGAAAACCACCCCCAGGCTTTTGTCTCTTCCAACCAATGTCTCTTCATTGGAGATATGAGCAAGAGCACCTGTCAGTGGAGAAAAGTTACTAATAAAATAAAATTACATTTCAGCAAAGACAGACCAGCCATTGCCAAGTGTTGAAACCCAAATCCAACAAACAGGGTCAGAATGATACCCTGGGAGGATGGCCAGCTTTGATGAATTAGATTTGCAGGAGGAACTGTCTGCCCTAGGATCACCCTGAGTCTGTTGTTGATACTTAGATTCTGACATTAGGGAAGTACCATCTTCACATGATTCCTGAATTCTCCATTTTATAAATGCTGCTATCCCATAGCTGGCTTCATCTTTTATGACTGCTTGTGGAAAAAGAGAGGGAGAGAGATAGGGGCAGAGAAGGAAAAGGCAAACATTGGGAAAGGGAGAGAGAAAGAGGCAGAAACTGAAACAGAGATGAAGACAGAGACTGAGAAAGTGAGGTTCAGAAAGGGGGGCAGAGATTGAGACAGTAGTGAGAAAAACAGAGAAAATACAATTAAGCTTAAAACTAAGCTTGTTTCTTTTTTGTTACAAGGGAATGTTCTATGTGTTGGGGGACATTATATTGGGAAATAATTGTTGAATGAAAAGCAAAACGCATCCATATAAAACTAAAAATAGTTAAGCATCAACTTGTTCCCATTATGTGCCCTTAACTCTGGTTTGAAGGGTATCAAGGTAGAGTGAAATGTAGGATCAAAGGTTCAGATAGAGAACTGAAAGGCACCTTGAAAGTCATCTGTTCCACCCCCTTCACTTTACAGATGAAGAAACTGAAACCAAAGGAAGTTAAGTGACTTGCCCAAGGTGACACAGAATGAATGTCAAAGGCAGTATTTGCACCTCAGTTCCTCTGACTCAAGAGCCAGTACTCTTTCTATTTAGGGACCCCATAGTTATCTTGCTGGGCTTAGTTTACATATCTGTCAAATAGAGGATTAAAACTAGATGGTCTTTCCCGCTTAACGTTTCTGAAACCGTGCTTATCTAGAACATACTGTTATATGTTCTGTCATTTTCAGGTCCAAATATGATTCTTTCTCACTTGCTGGTGCCTCTTTATAAATTCCAATTTCATTAACAACATATATCTTTTTCCTCCTCCATCTCCCACCACCCATTTCAAGTTCCATAAGGTCAAGAGTCTTATTTCTTGTTTTACATAATATTAGAGCTATAACAGAACTCGAGAGGCAGTGCGACATGGTACCTAGAGTGTTGGGCATAGAATCAAGAAGAATTGGGTTCAAATTCCATGCCTGACACAATGTAGCTATTTCAAGATTAGGTCATTTGGCCTCTGTCAGTGCCCACAAACAACTCTCTAAGAGTATAAATTATAAATTACAGATCTGTATCAATGGAAGGAGTTTCCATAATGGGAGCTCTCTATACTGATTAAAGCACAAGTGCAGACCCTACATACAAGCACGCGCGCACACACACACACACACACCTCTTAAATATCTAATGCCCCTTATTTTACCAAGATGGAAACTGAGGCAAATAAAGGTGAGGTGACTTGTTCATGGTTACCTAGGTAATAAATGGCAGAGCCAGAATTGAAATCCAGATCCCCTGACTTCAAACTCTGTGTTCTTTCCACACTACCATAATGTGTCATCCCTACCCTATAATACCTAGTAATGCCAGCACTCATTGTTGAATTGAAATGGCCACTTAGACATAAGTTAATAAAGGAAAACCTTCTTGCCCAGTGACCCCAGTACCCAGTGCTCTGCATCTGACCCAGCTGTTAAAGAAAGGTGAGATCAGGCTTCAGACATGGCCTTTTTTCCCTCCCTCAGAAATGACAGAACTGACAAAACTTCAACCCTCTGTCCTCAAGGAAGCAGTCACTTCACAGAAGTTAATAATGATTGACTTCCTCAAGATCAGCCTTCTAACACAGGCAGTCTAGTGATCTCTTTAGGGAGGTTGGATTCCTTTTATCTAATCAGACTCAGGTGGAACAAGAGTCCACATTCCCAGTTCCCTTGGCTCCAAGAGGAAAGTCATTGGATAGGTGGCACAGTGGATGGAGTACTGGGCCTGAAATCAAGAAGAAAGACCTAAGTTCAAATCCAGCCTCAGATACTTGCTAGCTATATGTCCCTGGGCAAGTCACCTAACTTCTGTTTGACTCAGTTTTCTCATGCGTAAAATGGGGATAATAATAGCACCTTCCTACCAGGTTATTGTGAGTATCAAAAACGTAATACTTGTAAAGCATTTAACATATTGTTTAGCAACTAGTAAGCACTACATAAATGTTAGTTATTATTAGCAGTAGTATTATTACTGGCTGCATGATCCTGGGCAAATAATTTAACCTCTGTATGCCTTGGTTTCCTTAACCATAAAATGGGGACAATAATAGCACCTACCTCACAGGGTTGTTATGAGGCTCAACTGAGATATTTATTAAGTGCTTAGAATAGTACAGGGCACATAGTAGGTGCTTAATAAATATTTGTCCCCTTCCCCTTCCTCCATAATGATTTCTTCCCACAATTCTGCCCCTTTTAGTGTCATGCAGACCTGACTGGAAGATCACAGATCTATTGGCAAGAGCTGGTAGAATGTAAGCTCTTTTCACGTAGAGACTGTTGTTTTCTTTATTCATTTGGCTGGGCTATTTTGGAGGTGGGAGGAGTTAGGATTGTGTGGGTGTGTGCGTCTTTGTATTCCTTGTCCCTAGAACATTGCCTGGCACATAGGAGAAACTTAATAAATATTTACTGAGTGAATAAATGAATGAAGGAATCATCAGAATGAAGCCAGGTACAGAGCCCAAGCCCTGGAGCAGAGGTTTTTAAAGCCAGATGTCTTGGTAATGTATAAAGGAAAACTCTGGGGGAGAGAGGAGGGAGTGATCTATTTGGAAATGAAAGTGACATTAAAGCAAAAGATATCAATAAAGTTTTAAAAGAAAAAGCAGTATCTTCTGAGAACTTTGAAGTGCATGCTATGAATATAGCTTACCTGGATTTTAGCAAATATTTTGATAATATATCTCCCATTCATCTTACAGGGAATGGGGAGAGATAGATGACACAATAATGCAATCGGAGAGATAGAGCCATGAGTAAAAACAACAACCATGCCTGGAATGGTTTCAAAGCTCAAATATATCTATTGAAGCCCCTAATTTCCTTCAAGGGCCAATCCAGGTCTCACATCCTCCATGAGGACTTCACTGAATCCTTCACACACATCCTTGAGCAAAAGCAATCTCTCCAAAATCATATTTCCGTTCAGCCATTGCCTGGATCTTCCCCCTAAACTTTTCTAACTCTCTGTTGTATCACAACTATTTTTGTACCCATCTTTCCTCCTTTTAGATTGTAAGTTTCTTGAGAGGAGGGTCATCTTCAAATCCCTAGTGCTAAGAAGAGGGCCCATCATACAGTAGGTGATTGATAAATGTTTGTTGCCAATTTAATTGATTCATGCATCAGGTAGAGGGTTGGGCTAGATGATCACTAAAGTCCCTTTATTGCTAAGATTGTGATTCTAGCCCTTTTTTTTTATAGTCCTTAATTTAATTTGGTTTTCCTACTCTGAGGTCCACAGACCCACTCTCAGTAGTTTTTTGCCCCTTGTTTTTCTGACCTGGTTCTATTGCATGTTTAGAATCCCTAGACTTCAGCTTTCTTGAGCCTGGGCTTTCCTGAGTCTCAGCCTTCTGACTAGACCCCCAAGATCTATACTGACCTGTACCTAGAAGACCATCACCCACATTTTATTAGCCACCCAGATCCTATCCCCTGGGTGCCAGTCTACCTTCAATTCACACATTCAGAATCACAAGGGGGGACTAAGGTTGAGAAAGTGTGAATGTCTCCACTGGGGTGTTGCAACCCCACTGGAGACATAAAACATAACTCAGAGCAAATATTTCCTTAAAGTGTAGGCATTCCTGTTACCTTCTTAGAGAAAGACTGACATATCATTGTTATTAATCATCTAGATCATGCCATTATTATAGAGGGAATCCAGTTTGTATAGGGGTGAGCAGATGAAGAAACCTGAAACTCCTGCTGAGTCTCAAACAGCAGTGGATCTGGTCATAGTGGCAAATTCCTTTCTCTAGCTACCCTATGGCCTTGGGGAGTCTCCTGACTCAGGAAACTGCTCAGAGTTGGAAGTGTGAAACAACTGGCATTCCAGTACAAACCCTTGTGGCTGGGCCCCCTCTCCTGAAGCTGGGATTGCATTCCTATTTTGAGCTTCTGCTTTCTACTATAAAAGGTAAACAGCTTCCCATCAGTAGAGGTAGCCTCAGTTCTTTGCTCTTTGCTGTGAGAGTGGTGCCTGGGAGAGCTTGAGATGGGGGTAATAAAAGGGTGAGTACTGAAGATGTAAATGTAGATGGGGGAAAGAAATTGTGCCCCTATTATTTAGCCTTCAACTCCATCTCAGTCTTCCTCCTGCTTCTATAGTGGGCTAGGTGGTTTTTAGAGTACAAACTGTTTCGTATTGTCTTCATATTGGATTTAGTACTGGAAGGGTCTTTAGAGCTCATCTAGTCAATTGTGTAGAGACAGTGTTGCTAATGGTCAGAATACTGAACTTGGAGTCAGGAAGATGTGGGTTCAGATATTTCCTAGCTGTATGACCACGAATTCAGTCAGTGAGCCTTCATTTTCTCATGTGGGAAATGGGGATTCCCTACCTCTCAGGATGGTTAGATACTGTGTGGAAAGTGCTTTCCAAACCTTAAAGCACTGCATATGCTGCTTTTATGAAGCCCATCATTTTTATACAAGAAAAGTAAAATGTGGAGTGATTTGCTCAAGTTCATAAGAGTAGACATCCCCATTCCCATTAAGTCTTCTTCTAGCTTGACTCCAGCAACTCATTAAGTCCAAAATTTCCAAGCCCCTGAAAATTTTGACCCATTTCCCGAGGCAAAAATAATTAAAGGGACTAGAATAATTCAAAAAGACAAAAAAAAAAGAAGCTAACTCCCTCCTATTCCTATCCTCTTCCCCCCCCAAAAAAAAATCCCAAAGGAACCTGAAAGTGCTATATGAATGTGGATTGATGTTATCACCTAAAGTCTATTTCCACAAAGCTGTTAGAAACATTTAAACATTTTAAAATATTCCCTGATATAACAAATCATATAGATGATGGTACTGTATTTTTTTTTCCTTTTTGCTTTGGGGGTTGTATATGGGACCAGGAGAGTTGTTCTCTTAAGACAACTCCGGAAATCTTTCCCAGTTCTCACAGCAGACAGGGGTACACTTCACTCCACTTGGCTTATGAGAGAATGGCATGTTGTCTATTTGCTTCAGGGAACGACAACCACCACAAGAAACCCTGCTTCCTCAGAAGACAAGGACTGCCCAGGGTGGACAACAGGTGGATCTGCTATTTGCTGGTAGGATTCTCTGTCTAATGCACATTTTAAATTGTTCATAAACTTTAAAGACCTTAGAACAGACCCACAGTCTATTACATGCAAGAGTACAGTATTTGTTATTTGCTTCTTCCCTTCAGATTTTTCCTTCAGTAGTCTGGAGGACGGGGAAAGAAGTTGAGTTAGTCCTTCTCTGTAGGTCACCCAGCAGAAATGTATGACTAATTAAGCAGATTGCAATGGTTTACTTTACAACTTGGAGTTTCAATTCTCCTTAATTTTAGTGCCTTTATTCTAAAACTACCCTCATCGTATCATTGTTTGCATGGTGTTTCCCTATTAAACTATAAATTCTTTGAAAGCAGGGACTGTTTTTTTACCTTTTTTTTGTATCCACAGCACTTAGCACAGTGCCTGGCACATAGTAGGAGCTCTATAAATGATAAATGTTAGTTCATTCACTGACTGATGGACTTTGCTAGTCCTGGTATCTCAAAGGTATGGGTATCCCTTTTTTTTTTTAAACTTTTTTTTACTTTTTACAATTAGGGTTAAGTGACTTGTCCAGGGTCACACAGCTAGTTAAGTGTCAAGTATCTGAGGTCACATTTGAACTCAGGTCCTCCTGACTGCAAGGCTGGAACTCAATCCACTGTGCCACCTAGCTGCCCCAGGTATTCCTTCTAATAGGGTAGATTGCAACCCAAACCTTCTCAACCTGTCTCATTTTCATCTGCATTCTCTTATAAATTCTCCATAAAATGATCTCACTGAGCTTTCCTTCTAAAACTATCTCAATTATATCCAGGATATATTTGGTTTGTACATTGTTTGCATGTTTTTTCCCCATTAGAACATGAGGTTTTCTTTTACAGAGTGGATAGTCTTCTGAACTTCCAGTCAGGAAGACCTGATTTCAAATTCTCCTTCAGCTAATCACTAGCCATGTGTCTTTGGACAAGTCCCTTAACTTCTCTCAGCCTCAGTTTCCTCAGAGGTAAAATGAAAAAAATAAAAGTACTTACGTCACAGACATGTTGTGACAAATAAAATAACATATTTTAAACATTTTGTAAACCTCCAAGTTTCATATAAATGCTATGCTATAAATATTATTATTATTATTATTATTAGTGCCACAGTGGATAATTTAATTTTATTATTCCTGTATTAGTTATTAATTTTCTTCTACTTACTTCCTTCTTGTAAAATTATGAAAAAAAATTCTCTGGAAAGAAAAGAGGTGCTACTGTCTTCCATTTTTATTCAGAGCCCTTACCCTAATAACAGCTGCTTATTTCTGTGAAATCACATTCCTCCCTGAACAATGGCTTCATTTCTGAAGCATCTTTTGTATTTCCCTTCCAACTGTGAGAGTTGTCAGATTTGCTCAACACTGCTGGCCATCCTATGAGATCCCAGCAAATTCTCAGTAAATGTTCATTAGAAAGGGAATTCTTTGGTTTCCATTTGGAGAGCACTTTGAGAGACTGGGCTTTAGGACAGTTTTTGTCTCAGAAGAATGAAGATGTTTTTAGGGGAATTATCCTGAAGACATTCATTGGCCAGAAATGTCTCTTTCCTGATGCTAAGAAAGAAACAAACAAACAAAGGAAAAGAAAAAAGAAATCCCATTATTGTTGTTGTTGGATGACTCTGATGATAATGGTAACAATAATGTTCATGATTCTATCCTAAGTAGTTAACAAAGAAATGACCTCATAACCTTTCAGGGTAAGTAACAATAATACTGACACATAATCATCATCAGTATCATAATACATTATAATAACAGTAATAATGGCATATGATAATGATACATAATAACAATAATAATGACACAATAATAATAATGACACATAATAATAACAACAATAATGACTCATTTATGTAGCACTTTAAGGTTCCAGAGCACTTTCCCTGCAACATCACTGTTAGGTAGGTATTTGTATGTGTTACAATCCCTGCTTTACAGGTAAAGAAATTGAGTTTCAGGAAGAATGTTACTTGACCACAATTGCAAGGTTAGTGTAGAAGTATCTGTTGGCAGAAAAAGCAGCAGGCCTCAGGGAATAAACTACTTGATGAAAAGGATAAAGTCTGGACTTGGAAAAGGGAGACCTGGGTTCAAATCCTGGGTCCAATTTAGGTTGTACAAACATCAGTAAGGCATGATCTTTTAGAGATTATTTCCTTATCTGCAAAATAAAGCGAACAACATTGACACCACCTATCACAGAAGGTGTCTTTGATGAAAGAACTTGGGAAAACACTATATAATGGAAAAAGAGAGCTATTATAATTTGGAATTATTATTTTGGCAGTTTGGTAAATGGTTTGGAGAGGGAAGTGACTGTAGATAGGCAGAACAAAGAGAAAGCTATTGCAATAGTCCAAGTGGCAGGTGATAAGGATGTGAAATTGTCTGGTGGCTGTGTGAGTGGAGAGAAGGGGATGGGTGGGAGATGTGCCATGAAGGTAAAGTTGAAAAGAGTCAGCTACTATTTGAATATGACTTCAATACATGTAGCACATCTGTCTCTGTAGTATAGCAAATCAGTGACCCCAGAGGGCAATGGAGAAGCACACAATGGTGTGAACAGGCTGAACTAGAAAACCAATAAGAAATTTCAAAGGGTAGGAGTAAAGGACACCATGAGGGATATATGTGATAAAAGAAGATGGGCTAATTATATGACAAGAGTATGGGTATCTTTGCAATGTCAGACAAAAGTGATGAGGCTTCCAGCATATTGGCTAGACTCCCTGTGGCAAACTTATGGTAAGGCATGACCAAAACCAAGCAGGATGGGAAGAAATAAATGGGCTGTGAACTGGATTATTGGAGGAGACATTTGCATTGATGAGATCATAGATCCATAGCAATATTTGAGTATTATCCTCTGAAACTTCTCCTAGAGATGTTTCTCTTAAAGTAAAATAAGAGTGAGTGAGTCTCTTTAATTTGAAAAGGAGAGATTTTCTGTTTTAGCATAGTATAGTAGAAAGAGCTCTGAATTTAGAATCAGAGGACCTGGACTCAAATCCCAGTTGTCTTACATATTTATAAGTGACTTTGGTTGAGTCACCTACTTTTTTGGGACATCTGTTTCCTCAGAAGTCAAATGAGAGAATTGTGCTAGGTGACTTTTGAAGTCCCTTCCAGTTTTAAATCTATGATCCCATGTTTTAACCAGATTTTAAATGACTTTGAAGGATAAATAGAACTTGGAGAGAAACTGGATATAACACACCTCAACAATGGGATAATTCAGGCAAAGATACTAGTGAATTCTGCATGTTTGTTGGGTGGGTGAGGATATCAGTAAAGCAATTGTTCTCCTATCTCAGTACTTTTGCAAAGGCCATCTCCCATGCCTGGAATGCACTGTCACCTCACCTCTACTTCTTTGAATCCCTGTATTCTTTCCAAACTCATCTTCCACATTAAGAGTTTTCTGATGCCCCAATTCCCTCCCACCCCAACAGCTACTTCTTTCTTCCCTCTCATTTTGAATTATCTTGTATTTATTTTCCCTCCCACCATAGAATTAAACTCCTTGGGGGCAAGGGTTATTCTATGTATTTCTTTTTCTTTCCTTTGTCTAGAACATAGTAAGCACTAAATAAAAATTTACTGATTGATTAAAGTAAACCACACTAGACTATCTCATTTGAAATCACCCCTTCAGCTTTTTCTCCCTGTGTCCCAACTTAACACAATCACTCTTTCTCTTTCCAGTTGGAGGATGTCATTTGGCTAGTGATGTCATCAGCGGGGTGGAGTGTTACAACCCACTGTCCCATGAATGGAAATTGCTGGGCTCTTCATGCAAACACCGATGTGGTACAGGGGTGGCTCCCTTGAATGGCTGCATTTATGCAGTTGGGGGCTATGATGGAACCACTTGCCTTAGCAGTGTGGAAAGGTAATGAGTTCCTCTGTGGAGGGGGAAGAAGGAGAGAAGAAAATGTGTGGATTTTGTTTAATGCGTATGTTTGTCAATATAGTTCATTGGCCATCCTTGTCAACTTTAGTTAGCTTCCAAATCAAACACAGCCTTGGCTGTGACATATAACTCAACCAGCCAAAAGAAAACTCCCCAGCCTCAAAAAGAAACCTTTCACACCAGAAAAATGCAGAATTGACAACCTAATCTAAATTCTCAGTTATGCGTTCTTAAAATAGAGACACTGGGAGTCCCAAGTTATCAGACTCTCAAGACTGGAAGGAGACAATTTGTCCCTGCCCTTATCTACCAAAAGGTTCAAAGGTCCCATGATATATCCTCTTGGATTACTGGGAAAAAGGAAGCCCTTGTCCTCTGAGAGCTTCCAGAAGGGAGTAGAGAGAGTGTGTCATGCCAGTTGTAATTTTGTATCAAAAAGAAATACCTAGCACAGTCAAGACCCAGTAAATCAGCTGTGCCCATCATTTACAATTCTTAGCAAACGTGGGGTGGGGAGTTGCATGTAAAGGGAAGCACAGGGAAGTAAATATATTTAAATTAGGTACTGCTTCTCCCTTTACTAACATCAACCACAATTAACTGTAAGTCCTGAAAATAAGGTTATTAAACTTAGTTTTCATACCAGATATATGATCATATACATTTAAAGATAAAAGGAACCCTAGAGACTATCTGGTTCAACCTTCTCATTTTAAAGCCCAAAGAATGGAAATACCTTGTCCAAAGTCATCCATGTAACTGGTAACAAAGGTGGGATTTGAATCCAGATGTCCCAACTCCAAATCTACATTACAGTCCTTTCAGGGCCACGTTGTCCTCCCCCATTGTTGGCTTGGGCATAATCCTAAGGGGCTTCTCTAAAACTGCTGCTAAGCACTTATTTAAAATGTCTCTATTAATGTATACAGACTCTAGGATGGGGGAGAGGGCTGGGAGAGGAGTGATTATGGAGGTTAAAGGATGGACTTTCCCTGAACATCCCTAAATAAGGTGACAGGCATTCATTACCAGATATCACGGGACTATCAGTCATGTTTGATAAAGATTTCCCAGGGACTGTTGTGTGCAAAAAGATATAGGAAAATCATAATGCTAAACCTGGCTTGACATATGAGCTATAGAACAGAAATCAAATTCTCTAAATCTTCCTCATTTGGGTTGACATCATCATGATCACATTCATCATAGCTTGCATTTACATAGTGCCTACTAAATACCCGGCACGGGGGCAGCTAGGTGGCACAGTGGATAGAACATTGGCCCTGGATTCAAGAGGACCTGAGTTCAAATCCGGCCTCAGACACATAGTACTTACCAGCTGTGTGACCCTGGGCAAGTCACTTAACCCCATTGCCTAGCCAAAAAAAAAAAACCAAAAAACTAAATGTCCGGCACTGTGTGTGCTTAGCACTCTTCAAATATTATCTCATTTTATTCTCACAACAACTCTAAGATGTTGATGCTATCACTATCTACCTTTTACAGTTGAGAAAACTGAGGCACACAAAGGTTAATGACTTGTCCAAAGTCACACAGCTACTAAGTGTATGAGGTTGGATTTGAACTAAGGTCTTCTATCCACTGTGCCACCTAGCTGCCTTTAACAGCTCTGACCAGTAATTGCCTAATTTTTTTTTATTACCATTTCAAGGGGCAGCTAGGTGGTATAGCGGATAGTGCTCCAGCCTTGGAATCAGGAGGACCTGACTTCAAATCCAGCCTCAGACACTTGATACTTACTAGCTGTGTGACCCTGGGCAAATCACTTAACCCCAACTGCCCCACCAAAAAGCTTAATTAATTAATTAATTGATTAAAATATCACTTCGTTTGGTTGTGTCTGAGAACTCTAGCTTAGCAAAAGTTTATTCCAAAAAGGGCTGACATTTTAGGAATACAATCTTTCATTTCATGGCATTTAAATACCCAAGATGCTTTACATGCTGCTGATTTGAGATCTTCTTTCACTATCATAAAACAATTTGTGTTTCAGTGCTTAGCACATGCAACTAAGGTGGACAAGGTTATAGATTCCATCCTCCTATAAGTGAGTTAACTTTGTTTGTTCCCCAGTCACACAAAGTACTCTTAGCCTTAACTAGATGTTTGTAAATGTGTGTGGCTAGTTATAAACAGACCTAGTGAGAAAATGTGAATATCCTACTGCTAGAAAATCAATTCAAAGAGAACATCCTACTGATGATGGGTCAGAAAGGCTATTTTTCTTGCTAATGTATGTAAGCACACTTTGAAAACTGTAAAGGACAACATTATGTCATTGTTGATTTTAGCCTCTCTTCTGATACATACTTATGGTATTAGGAAAGAAATTAAACAGCAACATTTATTAAACACCTACTATGTGCAAAAGGTACCAGAGATAAAGGAGTAAATCCAACACATCTCAAGGAATTTATAATATAATGAAAAGAACAAATACACAAATAACTACGATTCAAGGAACAGTGAAATAAATGCAAGAGGAAGATATAGCCAAAGTGTTAATAGAAATTTATGGCTAGAGAGATTATTTTCAATGGTCTGAGGAAAGAAGGTAAGGGAAAGTCAAGGAAAACATGACATCACAGTTAGACCCTAAAGGAACGGATCAACTTCAAACAAATGGAAAGAGATTGGGGCAGGGGGTAAGGACATATGGTTCATTCTCAGTATGGTAGATAACATAAGCTAAGACAAAGAGATAGGAGAGAGAAGGATGAAAGCAGGATAAAGGATAGTCTAGTTCCAGTATAATGTAGATTACAGAATACACGAAAGGGGAAGCAAAGCATTACAGTGAAACATGTGCTAGATTGGAATCAAAGGATCTGGGTTCAAATCCTGACTCTGCCATTTTCTACCTACGTAACCTTAACATTTCTAGGTCTCAGTTTGCTCAACAATAAAATGAGTGAGATGTTCTCTCAGCTATCTTTTGGCTCTAAATCTATGATACTATGAATTGTTTGCAACAGAAAAATTGAAGCCAAAATTTGGTGGTCCTTGAATGTCTGAGTTGGAATTTTATATTTTATTCAGTAGCATGGAGAGCTATGTCCCACTTGTTTGCTATTTCCCAATAGCAAATCCTTTTTCTTGGTATTTATTAGATGAATCTTATTTTGCTATTATTTTGCCTTCAAAATTTCCAACTCTCTCTAACTTCCCTATTTCTATTGAGGGCACCACAATCCCCCTAGCCATCCAGGTTTGAAATCTTAGAGTCACTCTCAACTCTCCCAAATCCTTATTCCTCATATGCAAATGGAGAATCACATCTCTGGGCTAGGTTGAAAAATTATATTTAAGTGCAACACCTCCTCTGGGGCCCACGCCCCTCAACTCTCACTAACATTGGTAAGCTAGGTCCCCAGGGTGCAACTGATTACTTCTTTTTCAAATGATATAGAGGAAATTCTAAGGGTCTGGAGCTCTGATGCTTTGATTCATGAGCCCCCACCCATTGAGCTCCCTAATATGTATAGAAAAATTGATACCTTCCCAATATCAATTAACCAACTGATATTAGGTTTTACAAAGGGTTATATACTGTGGATTCTGTTTCCACAATATCTCTCACCTTCATACCTTTCTCTCCACTCACAGTCACTGCCTTAGTGCAGGCTGTCATTATCTTTCATCTAGACTGCTGAAGTAGCCCTATAATGGGTCTCCCTGATTCAAGTCTTCCCATCCTTTAAATCAGTAGCTGTCAAATTAACATGCCTAAAGCACAGGACAGACCCTGCCATTCCCCTGCAGAATGCATAAAAGAGAATAATGGTCAAGAAACCTGGAAAGGGAGGCTGGAGCCACATTGTGAAGGTTTTTAAATACTAAATATTGGATCCTTGAATCTAAGAAACCTTTGTAATATGGCTCCAGTTTCCCTTTCCAGGTTTATCCAGCATTGAACTCCTTCATTAACTCTACCTTCCAGCCAAATTGACCAGCTTCCTGCTATTTGTACACAATAGCCTATCTTCCATCTTCAGCTGCTGGCAAACTGTCTTCCTCACACCTAGGATGCACACCCTCTTTGCTCTCACCTCAGAAAATCCCTTGCTTTCTTCAAAGCTCAGTCCAAGTACCATCTTCTGCGTGAAGCCTTTACTGATCTCCTCAGTTATCATCATCTCCCCACCCCTAATCCAAAACAAACTAGCATTTACTCTTTATATATTTTGCATTTACTTGACTGTGTATAGGTTGTTCCTCCTGACTCTCACAGCCCTCAGAGACTTTGATTTTTGTCTTTGCTTTTTTAACACCTAGTATAGTGTCTGGTTCAGAGCAAATGCTTAATAAATGACAGATGAATGAATGAATGAATGAATGAATGAATGAATGAATGAATGAATGAACAAAGGCAGTGGTTCTAAATCACAGTCTGTAGATCTAAATAAAAACATGAATAAGAAAGACTTTGACACATACAAAGCTGTTAACATCACCTTGTATCTCTTCTCTCCCACTCTAGATATGATCCCAAAATTAATGAATGGAGATATGATGTGGCCCCACTGGCAGAAAGCAAACGAGGTGCAGGTGTTGCTGAGCTAGGGGGATTCCTGTATTGTGTGGGAGGTCATAATGGACTGACCTGCCTCAGTTCTGTGGAAAGGTATGGTCATCAGAGAAAACAGACTGAACAACAAGAAATAGGTTTGTTGACATCTTGATGCATACAGCTTCCCAAAGCTCACCTTTGTAGGAAAATGTGTGGGGATCAGCCCAGTCTGGACCCTCACAACATAAGACAGTTGCTTAATAGCTTGAACACCAAGATAAGCAGAAGGAGCCCCATAATATGTTTTTAACCCTGTCACTCACTACCTGAATTATCTGCGGCCTCCAGTCACAGAAACTTGGAGCTGTAAGTAACCACAGAGGTCATCTAGTCCAACCCCTACCTGAAACATGAATCATCACAATAGTTATCATAACTCTTATGAGCAGTTATATGGCATAGTAGACTGATGAAGGCTTGCCTGGAAGTCCCACATCTGCAACATTGATTATATGACCCTGGAAAAGTTGGTCAACTTCTCAGAGTTGAGTCAACTCTCTAAAATTATAAATGGCAGAGCTGGCACTTATTTGCATTGACAGATTTTCCTCACTGGGAGCTCCATATAGTAATGAAATAATATTCAGACCAAAACTTTAAAAAACAATTATACAAAAATTAAAGTTTTACAAGGCATTCTTTTCATAACCATGTGGGATAGATAGAGCTGATGAAGAAAATGAGGATATTGACTTGCCCACTTTCATTTATTAAGCATTTACCATGTGCCAGACCCTGTGTGGTGCACTTGGGCTATAAAAACAAAAATTAAACAATTCCTACCCTTACTGATCTTACATTCTACCAGCAGAAACTTTATTTATTCAAAGTATATAAAAATTGTAGACAATAATTCCAAAAAGAAAAGAGGATTAACAATGAGGGGTAGGGAAGGACAACATTAGTAAAAGCCTCGTGTAGGAGATGGCACCTTGGATGTAGGGATTCCCAGAGAAAGAGGTGAGTAGGAAGAACACTGGAGACAAGAGAGATCCCCTAAAATGCTGATTATATGTGCCTTGTGAGGTCAGAAAAGAAGAAAAGGTGAGCAGTCCAAAATGATCTAAGAAAGCTCCCAGAGGTGGGATTTCAGGAAGGATGGTGAAGTAGGTATTAAAAAAATACATCCTAAGAATGTAAAAATACATTCTTAACTTCATAACCTTCTGGGTAATTGTAAGAAGATAACTGATTCTAGGCCCATGATTTATAGAGGTCGGAAACCAGAATCAGCACTCTATAGTGTTTCATGTTGTGTCAATCATTCTGGTTTCAGGTACGATCCCGAAGAGAACAGGTGGTGCAAGGTAGCTCCTCTGACTTACCGAAGATCAGGTTTGGGTGTGGCTGCCTTGGATGGCTACCTTTATGCCATTGGGGGCTCAGATGGCCACTCTCCACTAAAATCAGGTAACTAATACAGTGAATATTTTCATGCAGAATTGAACTTAGGATCTTTTTTTTTACCTGGGGTAAAAACATTTGCTGAGGGATGGAGCATGGCAGAGCCACAAAGGATAGACTGACCATAAGTGTAAACATGCAAGAAAGGGTGACTGCCCCTCCCCCGCCCGCTCCTATAGGTTTGGGGGAATAGAATAGGAACTAAGAGTGGGTTCTCACAGTGATGAGACTTTGGGGGATGATTATCCTGTGTGGGAGTATGGGGAGTTGAAAGGATGGTAATCACCTTGCCACCTAATGTTGGGAATCTGAAGCAAAGCCCATTTTGCCCTATGCTAGTTACCGTTCTCCTTGAACGCAACTTTCAAAAGTAAAACCAAGACAAGGTACATAGGGACAAAAAGAAATTGGAATGGTTGTAGATTACTAGAGCTGGAAGGGGCTTTAGAAGTCATCTCTCTACTTCAACCTCCTAATTTTACAGGTGAAGAAACTGAGATTTGTGCTGTTTACAATACAGAAATCAGGAAACACAGCAGTATATGCTAGGTATTTGTCAGGTACTGCCAACAGGGATTGTTTCTCCCTTTCAAAGATATCTCTGATCTCTCTCCAAAGAGGCTCAACTCCACATTCCAGGCAAGGGTCAAGAAAGGTTGTTGCATAGCTAAATTTACCTACAGGTAGTCATATTATTGATAGAGTCAGGCAATCAATTAATTAAGCAGCCTTCACTAAGCACCTATTAAATATAGATTATATAAATATTATATCATACATAAATATTATATATTTATATATGGTATATTATATATAAATATTATATAGATATATAACACTACAGGTACCTCTTAGACTATACATTGCAAAAAAAAGTGACAATCTGAAATGATAGGGAGCTCATCACAAATTTCTCACACTAGTCTAGTCAAGAATATGTGTGTATACATGTGTACCTTAGTGTAGAGCACATTAAGATTTGCAAAAAAACTTCCCAAAAAGTCTAGAATGGTACCTTACAGATTTTCCCCATGAGGAAACTCTACTGATACAAGGAATTTCTGGAGTACTAAGAAGTTAAATGCCTTATGTGGTCACATAGCCAGCATATGTCTGAGTTAGGACTTGATCCTGGGGCTTCCTTAAAGACCAGCTCTCTAGCCACTCTGCCACAAATAAAAATATGTTCTACTTCACCCAGCTTTATAATTTACACAGCAGGCAGCAGATGAAACTGTTTTGTTTTGTTTCTTCATATGCCCCCAAACTAGAACAGTGCCTGGCACTTAGTAGATGCTTTACAAATGACTGATAAATTTAATTAAACTTAAAGAATTTATTTACCATAAGGATAAATAGATTGACAAGTCAAGAGTCAACAAGTATTTATTAAGTTCCTACTACGTACCAAGTACTGTGCTAAACACTGAGGATACAAAGGATTGCAAAAACAGCCCCTGCTCTTAAGGAATGAATGAGTATAATGGGAGAGGCAACATGCAAAGAACTATGTGTAAATAAAATAAAATAAAATTGGAACTAATCACAAAGGAAAAGCATTAAGATTAAGAGGACCCAAAAAGCCTTCTTGCAGAAAGTGGACATTAGCTGAGATTTGAAGAAGCAGAAACATGGAGATGGACAGAGAAAGGGCTCCAGGCATAAGGACAGCCAGTGGGAACTCTCCGTGTTATGACTGAGAAACAGGAAGGAGGCCAGTGTCACTGGATCACAGAAGTATATAGACACAAGTAAAGTTATACAAGAGTGGAAAGGTAAGAAGGGTCATCATTATAAAGGATTTTGAAAGCCAGAAGATTTTTACACTTTTTAAATTTGGTCCCAGAGGTAATAGGAAGTCACCGGAGTTTAGTGAATGGGAGAAGAGGAAGGGGTGAAATGGTCAGACTTGTGCTTTAGGAAGATCAGTTTGACAGCTGAGTGAAGACTTGAGTAAGGGAAAGCAACCAGCACCAGCAGGTTATTTCAATAGTTCAGCGTTTGAAGTGATGAGGGTCTGTGCCAGGGTGGTAACAGTGTCAAAGGAGAGAAGGGGGCATATATCAAGGTCGAAATGACAGGATTTGGATATGGGGAATGAGAGAGAGTAAGAAGTTGAGAATGATACTCAGGTTGTAAGCCTGGGCACCTGGGAAGATGGTGGAAACCTGCATAGTAATAGGGAAGTTCAGAAGAGGGGAGGTTTTGGGTGGAAAGATAATGAGTTCAGTGTTAAACATACTGAGTTTAAGGTTTCTGTAAAAGTGAGAACAAAAAGAGTCTCCATATAGTTTAATGTAAATTCCTAAATTAGTGATGTATAGGGTATCTCGTAGAGAAGCTGAGGCTGTCTGGAGACTTCCTAACTTGTGAGGCAGTATCAGAGGAAGCAATATTAGCCTTTACCCAAAATGGCCCTCTATGCCTTCATCAGAGACGGTATCCTAGGCCGGAGATGCCTGGGGGCTGACTGGAGTTCTTGTTTCCATCCATCTATCTGGACTTTGAACAAGAATGTCCCTTAGATCTTGTTATCCTTTTGACCATGCTGAAAGGCCCTAATGTCTTCTCTCTCTAGTTGAACGCTATGATCCCACAGAGGATATGTGGAGTCCCTGTGCTCCCTTGAGGGCCTGCAGGGAAACCTTTGGCTGTGCTGTGTATCAAGGGAAAATCTACGTGGCAGGTGGACGGGATGAGATTACAGAGCTGTGCAGTACTGAACGCTTTGATCCCACCTCCAATGAATGGTTGCCAATGAGACCCATGAGGTCAAAGAGGAATAAGGTAGGATGAGATAGGAAAAAAAGTAGGGGTAAAGATGCATCAATCTGACAATACTCAATTAGATATATGTTGCTAATTAATTGTTTTCTTTCTGATACAAACCAGTTAGAAAAACTCAGACTACTTCATGGGTTTGTTGTGATGAAAGTGTTTTGTACATCTCAAATCTGTAGAATGTGAGTTGCTATTATTTCCAATGGCCTGTCCTAAGGTAAGTTACTTCACCCCTCTGACTCAGGATGTGCTGGAGCCAGTTCCAACTGAAAGGATTGTTAAATTTTCAGTATGAGCATTTGCACCTCAGAAATTGGCAAATGCTAAAAATCAAAGCCTGATCTCATGCTTTTATTGGTTGTCTAGGCTGAAGACAGTAGAGAAAATGCTTATAAAAATTGTGTGGTATAGCATATGTTTTCCCAGAAAGCCAATTATATGTTTACCAACACATACTTGCCTGTAAGCCTCTATTTCCTTATCTGTAAAATGGGGGAACAAGTTATTTGCAACACGTGCCTCACAGATCCATTGTGAGGAAAGCAGTTTAAAAATCTCAAGATTCTATATGAGTGTGATCATCAGCATTGTCATTGTCATTCATACTGCTGAAGATATTGAAAGTCCTAGCTCTACTGAAGAATCATTTTCAAATACAAGGACAACACGTTATCTAATTTTTTGGACCACTCATTTCATTGGGCTTAGTTAAATTAAGCATTTATTACTTACCTACTACATGACAGAACTGGTAAGAAAACAACAACAGTAAAAAAAAAAGTTCCTGCCCTCAAGGAACTTATATTCTACTGCAAGGATTCAACAAGCACACAGATAAATAAATGCAAAATGCATACAAGATAAATACAAAGTGATTTGGGGCTGGGTACTAACAGCTGGGAGAATCAGAAAAAGCCTCTTGCAAGTCTTTGAGCTAAAAAGTGAGGGAACTAAGGGATTCTAAGGGGCAGAGGTGGGGAGAAAGCATTCCAAGCACAAGGTGCAACCTGTGAAAAGGTATAGAGATAGCAGAGGGAATAGCACATTTGAGAGCAGCCATACTTGTAGGGCAGTTTAGCTGGAACAGAGTATGTGAGGGAGAATAAGGTATAATGAGACTGCAAACATAGACTGTAGCCAGATTGCGAGAGGCTTCAGTGGCAAATAGAAGTTGTGGTCGTTATTGTTGTTCAGTCATTTTCAGTGATGTCCAACCCTTAGTGACTCCATTTGGGGTTTTCTTGGCAAAGATACTAGAGTGGTTCACTAGCTCATTTTACAGATGAGGAAACTGAGGCAAACAGGGTTAAGTGACTTGCCCAGAGTCACACAGGGTCTGAGGCCAGGAGTCTATATTTTATTCTAGAGACCACAGGAACCACTGAAGTTTAGCAGAAGAGTGATATTGTGCTTTAGGAATACCAATTTAGCACCTATGCAGATGACAGATTGGAGAGGAGAGAGACTAGATGAAAAAAGAACAATTTGAAGGATCTTGCAATAGTCTAGATTAGAAGTCATGAGGTAGAAGTAATCAATGCTCTAAATTACAGTAATTAGATGTAATGACTAGAATAAGTTTGGTGTGACTGGAGATTGATGTGAGAGAAGTTGTGGGAGTCAAATCTGGAAATGACAATCCTGAATAGATACAACATCTAATTTCTTTCATAAACGTAAGCAGCTATCATGTGCTGAGCACTGGGTTTGGCCCTTGTGAGAGATATAGTTTGGATAAGGTTTGGTTCTTGCTCTCATGGAGTTTACATTCTAAAAGCAGACACGCACATAGGTAACTGAGGTGAAACAAAATACATCATGAGTGATTTCGCTGCCTCTTGTATCCATTTCAGTCAAACCTTCCCCACATGGGACTAAATTCGAGCTCCCAGGAGCAACAAAACAGAAGCTCTAATTCCCAGCCCTGACAATGCAAAGGGTGAAGTTAAAATTGTGCCATTGCTTGTATAGTACAAAAGCTTAATTTCCTGTTCCTAAAAATAAGCACATAATCAGTAGTGTTCTTTCCTTCTGGGGAAGCTGCCTGCTCATTTTGTTTTTAAAATGTCACCTTCAGAGCATAATCTCCTCACAATTATGGGTCTAGCTGAAATCTGTAATTTAATTCAAGAAAGAATCCCTGAGGTAGAAGTGGGAAGAGGTTTTTCACACAAAAGGTTCTCCCTCCCCATGGCTCCTGCCAGAACCAGGGATTGGAAAGTCAATCACTTCTTGGCGTGACACCTAACAGCATTATTTCTTTCTTCTCCCTTCCTTGCCTTCCCCTCTTGTCCTTTCACTCCCCATGCCAAGAAGGTACACTTCATTAACATGTCCATCATTGTCTTTTGAAATCCGGAAGGCAAAGGAGGCTGCCATTCTGGAGGCTCCCACAGTGGGCAGGATTCATTACTCTACAAGGCACAGTCATCATCATCATCATTATAATTATCATCAGGGAGTACAACTAAAAGTTGTCTCAGAGGAATACCAGTTTGGCTTCTGATTTCATCCCCTTGGGATCCCCATGGTGTATAATTTTTCTCATGCATAGCTCTGGTCATGTCACTCCTCTATTCAAATAGGGGCTCCCTGTTGTCCACTGACTAAGTCTGAACTGCTTTTCTTGGCATTTAAGGCCAAGTACAATCTTGCACAACCCCTACTTTCCACCCTTACTTTAATTTTTCATCATATCAAGCATAAATTTGCTTTTTTGCAACATTCATCCATTGACCCTAGTTCTAATCTCTAGGGCCAAGAAGAACAAGTCTATTCTTCTTCCATGATAAAGCCATTCAAATATTTGAAGATATCTTTCAAATCCTCCCTAAATTATTTCCTTCTTCCAGGATAAACATCCCTAATTTTTTTTTAGATAATTTCCATTTGGAACAACTTGGAAGGTATTCTAAAAGCAGACAAACACACAGGTAACTGAGGCAAAACAAAATACATCATGAGTTATTTAGCCACCTCTTGTATCCATTTCAGTCAAACCTTCCCCAAATGGGACTAAATCCAAGCTCCCAGGAGCAGGACAGAAGCTCCAATGGCCAGTCACGCTTCCCCAATCTTGTACTTGTGAGATCCATTTTTCTGAACCAAAGTGTAAGATTTTAGATTTATCTTCATTAATGGCTGGCTTGTTAGATTCAACTCAATGAAGGTATGTTTTAATCCTTACTCTGTCATTCAGTGTTTTAGCAATCCCTCTTAGCTTTGGGCCACGTGAAAATTTGATAAGTATGTCATCTATGCCTTTATCCAGGTGATGATGAAAAACTCTTTGGGTTCAAAAAAAAAAACAGAGCAAAGCACAGATTCCTGGGACACTCAATTCAAGACATCTTTCCAAGTTAAATTTGAACATTAAATGACTACTCTATGAAGCTATTCACCTAGTCCCAAATCTACCTAAACTCTAGCTCATGTCTTCAACTTTATTTTCAGGAAAAAAAAATTATGAAAGGCTTTTTCAAGTGCTTTGCTAAAATTCTGAAACTATGTATGTATATATACACATATATGTGTATATGTACATGCACACAAGTATTTACTACGTGCATGTAACATAACCACAAACTGCATGCATGTTACATGTTTTATGTATGTATACATAGCATTGTATAGCGTGTATGCTGACTTGTTATCTGTATCACAATACAATGTCTTCCCTTGATTTATCAGTTTGCTTATCCAATCAAAAAAGGAAATAAGATAACTCTGATACAATCTGCTTTGTCATGACTGCTTCATTTTCTGAATAATTGCTAACCATTCCTTTAATAATGCAATCTAGAATTTTGCCAAGAATCAAAATCGAGCTCATTAACCTATAGTTTTTAGATTTCTTTCTCTTCCTTTTCTTCAAAACAGACATTTGCTCTTCTCCAGTCTTGAAGTGTCTTTCCCATTCTCCATGATTTCTGAAATTCTATTGACTGTAGTTCAGAAATCCTGTGTTAGCTCTTTCAGTACCTTAGGATTTACTTTATTTAGCCCAGGTTATTAGAACCCTTAAAGAATAACTAAGTGCTCTACGGCTGTCTCCTGAATTAGGTTGCATGTCAATGCCCTAAAAGCCATTTTGGTTCTGTCATTCTGTTACTCTTCAGGATTTCTAACTTAGTTGATATGCATCATTTCCCATACCACAATCCTATCAATACTTTGTTTTATTTTTATTATTTCCCAATTATGCATTAAAAAATTTAACCATTTTTAAAATTTTTCAGTTCCAAATTTTCTCCCACCACACCCACTCCTTGAGAATGCAAGCAATTTCATATCAATTATACATGCAAAGTCATGCAAAACGTTATTTCCATATTAGCCATGCTGAAAAAAACAAACAAAATAAAACAATAAAAGTAAAGAAAATGTTTAAAAACAGTATGCTTCAATCTACATTCAGAGTTTAACAGTTCTCTCTCTTGAGATAGATAGCATTTTTTTCCCTCATGGGTACTTTTGAATTGTCTTGGATCACTGTCTTAATCAGAGTAGCTAAGACTTTCATAGTTGATCATCTTTATAATATTACTGTTACTGTGTACAATGTTCTCTTGATTCTGCCTAGTTCACCTTTTATGAGTTCATATAAGTCTTCCCAGGTTTTTTCTGAGACCATCCCCTTAGTTATTTCTTATAGCAAAATAGTATTCTATTACAATCATACACCACAACTTCTTCAGCTATTCCCCAATTGATGGGCATTTCCTCAATTCCCAATTCTTTGAGACCATTAAAAGAGATGCTATAAACATTTCTGTACAAATTGGTCTTTTTCCCTTTTCTTTGATCTCTTTGGGATACAGACCTAGAAATGGCATTGCTGGGTCACAAGTTATGCACTGTTTTATAACCCTTTGGGCATAGTTTAAAATTGTTTTCTAGAATGGTTGGACCAGTTCATAACTCTACCAACAGTGCATTAGTGTCACAATTTTTCTTCCAGCATTTGTCATTTTCTTTTTATGTTCTTAGCCAATCAATCTGATAAG